CAATAAATGGGTCGCGTCGGCCATGAATTATGAGATAAATATGAGGACGGTCTGGGAATCTCACGGTTCATCCAGAACGCGTTTGATTTGAGGTCTCGACAGAAAATTCGGTTGCCTTAGCTGTGCTAATGATTTCTTAACAAGTGGATAACCAGCCGATACACATTGGCATCCGTACTGAAATCCTAAAAGAATTGTTATTATGGTGTACCATGAATGTAAATTTCAAATTTGACGGCACGCTTTACAGGCAAGTGGACGGAGTGGCGATGGTCTCCCCATTGGGTTCCATTTTGGCTGATTTCTTTCTGAGTAAATTAGAAAATGGACCTTTGAACAACCTTATCACAAAATTCTCATTTTATTGCCGGTATATGGGTGACACCTTTATTCCTTATGATAACAATTCGGATAGGAGTACAAAATACTGAATTCAATGAAGAACATTCGGGTATGAAATTCACGTGCGAAGAAGAACCCGAAAGAATTGCCTTCGTGAGTGTCCTCCTTACAAGAAAACCAGATAGTAGCATAAAAACAAATTCGCATTGGGAAAGCACTGGGACAGGTCAATATACACACTTTCACAGCTTCGTTCCTATCAATTACAAAATAAATTTAGTGAAGACCCTCAGCTACAGAGTTAGACCTTTATGCTCAGAAAAAGTAATTGAAGATGAATTGAGCATTATATATGATACTTTAATCGAAAATGGCTATCCCGACAAATTTATAAAGAAACACATGACAATGAAAGCGGAAAAGGACTGCTCACTATCTGTAAACAAGAAGCCACTTTATATACGACTACAATTCAAGGGTGATATACCAAGCGAGATAATTTCGAAAAAATTAGGCAAATCGGTTCAAAGAACTTTTAATGCTGGCGATCTTCGCGAATTATTCTCTACACGAGCGATGGTGCTACCTCGATTGAAAGATGAAGTACCTAGCCTAGCCACTTCAAATTGTATCTATCAATTCAACTGCGCTTGTGGAGCGAGTTATTTTGGCCGTTGCTCTAGAAACTTGATTTTTCGTGCTCGAGAACATCTCCCACTATGGCTAAGTAAAGTTGAAGTGAAAACCATTAACAGTTCGATACTGAACCATCTGGTGCAAACCAGTCACAAAGCCAGCTTAGAAGAATCCTTCTCTATAATCTACCAGGTGCCTAATAAATTGCCAAAATCATCGAAGCACCGCACGCTCCAAACAGCAGAGGCTATTGCAATTCGCCTCAAACAACAAGTGCTCTGTGTTCAAAAGAAGCGAGTACAGCCCCCAATACTGCCCTGGTTTTCAGTAGAGACTACAAATTCATAAATTGGTAATGTAATCTTTCCTAATTTTTCTGATATTCAGCTTATTTTATGTTGATGCTATTTATTTTATTTATTTTTGGTTACAGCTTGATTCCACACAGTACTTTTGGTAGAAGTATGGAATTTTCAGCATGGATATCGGTGGCCCAAATTTTGCAGGCCGACCATAGATATCGGGTGTGCGTCGGTAGGGGATCGAACCCCGGACCATGTGCATGGTCGGCGAGAGTCCTAACCACTGTGCCACCGACGCACAGTTGTTAGGACTTTCGCACTGTAATCTATCAATATTATTGATTCGATGTTATTTAAACATTAATGTTGTTCATAACACTAATTCATTCATTCACTATAATGTATATATAACTGTAGAGCCTGATGATGAAGATATCGAGAAAAGTATTCTTTGTTCAGTACCCTTTCATTTGACATTTTTTTAAGAGCTAACGTGCATTCGGTTACACGTTTTCAGAAATGAATGAATTAAGAAGTCTTAGAACTGTGGTCTGAGAGGAGCAGGTTTATAAGCCTGCTGGCATATGAGGCGTGATTTACCGCTGGCGGGAAGCTAGAGGGAGGAACACAATCGCCTGGCAGCCGTAGTGTCATGCCAAATACTAGCTCAGCAGCAGTACAACCAGCATCAGCTTTCAAGGCATTTGTATGCCTAGGGGAAGCAATGGTAGTGATTCTGTCAAATGTACATTGTTTGCGGCTGGTAACCCAGTCTTAAACTGTCAGTGTGAACGTTCTACCAAGCCATTTATTTGAGGATGGTAGGTTGTTTTTCTAAAATGCATACAACCTAGGTTTCTAGTCAAGACTAAGAATAAGCCACTCTCGAATTGCCATCAGCGATCAGTTGTTATGCAGGATGGGCATCCAAAGTTTGCGACCCATCGTTCGGCGAAGTCACGTGCGACTGTTTCAGCAGATACATCCTTGAGGGGTACTGCTTCAGGCCATCGTGTGAAATGGCCGACGCATGTCAAGCTATCGGTATATCGATGAGATTCTGGAAGGGTTTCAACCAAATCTGCATGAACGTATTCGAAATGAGCATCCGGGATGAAAAAGGCGTCAAGATGGCTTCTGGTGTGTCTTACTACTTTGCAGTTTTAGCAAGCTGAGCACGTGTGAGCCTATTCTCTCACTTCTTTATTAATACCAGGCCAACCTGACCGACCAGTTACGAGCTTGACGGTAATTTGAGTACCTGGGTGGGATAAGCCATGCAACGTATTGAACACGTTACGGCGATGACTTTTAAGCACGATGGGACGAGGAGTACTTGTGGAAATATCACACAGAGAAGCGACTCTTCTTTACCCGAGGGTTTCTCGGCTAATTACAGAGTTGTTTTCGACAATTCATGTTGGAGCTCGCTATATTCTTTTTGAAGACGACCCAGTTCTACAGGGTCTGTGCCATCTATGCGCGACAAGGCCTCCGCCACAGTGTTGTTCACTCCGAGTACATGGCGAATATCCTATGTAAACTGTGAAACAATGCAGTTGTCGCGATTCCCTCGGTGAATACTTATCTGAAGTTGAGTTCAGAGAGTACGTGAGGAGTTTGTGGTCAGTGAAAATTGTGAACTCACCACCCTCCACTGAATGTCGGAGGTAGTGTATGGCACAGTACATGGCCAGTAATTCTTTTGGATTCTCCTAGTTGTAGGCCTCTCAAGAACAAGACATATGTATATTAAATCCACATAGAAATAATATTTCAACTTAGGATAATTCCCTTCACAACACACATACAGTGAGAGACACACCTACATTATAAATTCTGTTCCCACAGAAGGCTCTGTGAGTGTTTATCGGTGATTTCCGTGTACTGATAGCATCTTTTGTCAAATAGTGCTGTTCTTCACATGATATCCTGAGACGTGGAGTCTTCATTGAATGACACTACGTCGAAAGGTTCAGCTTCTACATAAAGTAGACTATTTGTGTAAATGACATTACCCTCCAAACATCCGATCTTGCTCATTATGGCAATATTTTGACACAGTCCAGCTGAAACACTAATCACTGAAACCAATGTTCTTAGAGTGATTCACAGTCAGATCACATGGTGCAGACACCAACTTGGCTTGTCAGAAAATGAGAACTTCTATTAATCCAGAAGACACATAACAAATTTTATTATAACTTATTTACAAAAAATTACCAAGCGAAATTTCGACCAACGTGCTGAATAATTTCAGTTCTTAAGATTCCTATTCTGAAAATGACTTTGTCACTTACATGAAGACGGAGGGACGTTTACGGGCAAGATGGCACAATGCGGAAAATGGTTGGGAGGTCCAGAATAGGGTTGAGTCTACAGTGTGCGTATGCACCCGAGCTCAGTCAGTCAGTCCCATAATTACCTAGGTGCCATGCTGCTGCAGTAGACAGGAGCTGCTTCTACGGACCTCAGCAAACGCTGAAATACGAGGCGAATTCAGCCCAAAATTTGAAATTCCGTGTATGCACACATGGCAAAGTTTCTGATGGAGACCACGATAAATGCCAGTGTCCTAACACTGTCAGTAATCTGTTGGATTATTGTCTGGCGGAGTGATATTTGCAAGTAGCAGTAACATCATCCTTGTACAAACCATACACTGCCTAAAAAATAAACTGACACCTCTCGTTTTAACGAGAAACTTTGCAACCACATCTGTCGTGGGGATAGATTTTCTGTACTGCAATCTGTAAGGAACATAGGAATATCCTCAAACGCCGAGAAGAGAAGGCAAGGGAATCAAAGAATTTACACAAGTTCATGAGGGAAATAAAAGACAACAGAGCGAAAAAATTTTCTTTACCAACGAAACCATTCTTAGCAGAACAATCCTGTTTATATTTACCAAAAAACATGATACTCCGCTAGTGAGTGATAGGGTGGGGGAGATGACAGCTGATAAAATTCTCCAGAGAAGTTTCTGAAGTAAACATAACAGGAGTAGAAATATGGCTAGGTGAAAATTGTTATTCTATGAGAAGTAGGCTAGTTGAGAGTCCACGTGACAAGTGTGAAGACTGAGAGTAAAAAATCTAGCAAAATGTACAAAAGAAATGTGTAAAAGCGATAACAGTAAATCAGTTAGTGAAAAAGGAAGCGAACGGCTAGCAAAGTGATTAACAGCATGAGAATGAGAGACCGAAGAAGCCTTTCTGCACACAGATTTCAGGATTACATTTACCAATAGCCAGACGCAAATGTCGAAAACCAACACCACTTACACTTTTCGGTCTCACTTATGCGATAATTTTGGGGGACGACTATAGTGCAGCTGAATAGCCTGAGTTCACGTGGTGCTGAATAACTGAGTTGGTAATTGACCTGGATTGTTCCCTTGATAAACACACTGCATAATATCCAGATATCAGTCTGGAAAGTGAGTGTGTTATTTCCCATCCCCTACTACTCAAAGCAGACTACTATGTGGTTTTTAGTAACTTTAAGCATGACGTGACAGAGTCTAGAGGTGATTTGGCCGAAAAATAAATTTTTTACTGAATTGGCCTTATATTTTCGCCATATCCGATATTTCAGAACTAGTTGTCATTCTATAATATATGGTATTTGATAACTCACCATATTATCCCTGATTGACTTGAGTATAATAAAATTTGCTGCCTGAAATTTTTTCACCACAACTTACAAAAGGGTACGTAAAAGTGAAACGTTCTGAAGATTTCGTAATTTGTTTTAATTCACCAATGACTTGACGTCAGCCATATTGCATCCTCCATGGCAGGTAACGAGGCTTACGCAAGCGCCATCGAACGGGCAAAGCAGGTGGTTTGCATTGAGGTGCGGGTTGACTTATTTCACGTATAGATTGTTTCAAAATTTTCTATGTCCGATGACGGTTCAACAACCAATGGTGGCTTAGCTGGCATGAAAAGGCCGGCCCAGGACGACAACAATAATTTTGCTACAACTGAAAAACGCCCTTTAGTCATGGATAAAGTTGCTGCTGCTGCCGAAGCTGCCGCTCGTATCAATCAGAAATTAGGCAGTGCACAGTCAACCACAAATACTACGTCAGCATCCAATAACAACACGAATTCTTCAGGCGCAAGAGTTGTCACAACTGAAACTGCTATACCAGACCGTTTCGTTGGGTTAGGTCAGTCACAAAAATTTGAAGTATTCCAATTCTACAGTTATAGGAAAAGGTGGAGAGCAAATTACACAGCTGCAAAATGACACTCAATGCAAGGTTCAAATATCTCAGGGTAGGGGAGGTATTTATTTTTAATCACTAATAATTTAGCCGGTACTCCTGAGCGTACGGTGACACTTACAGGAACTCCACAACAAATCGAGTAAGTAGTCCGTTTAAGTGCTATTTTTCAGTCACGCGAAACAAATGATTAGTGACATAATTGAGCGCGCTGGCAAAAACGGTACTCCAACTACTCCTGCTTTCAACGCAACTGGAAGTATCACAACCATAGAAATGATGGTGCCGGGGTTGAAGGCCGGATTAGTGATTGGAAAAAACGGTGAGACAATTAAGAATTTACAGGAAGAAAATGGAGTGAAGATGGTTCTAATTCAACAGTCGAACAATCCCACGCCCGAAGACAAGCCGTTGCGAATATCTGGCGAACCCTCACGAGTCGAAAAAGCTCGACAAGCTGTGCTAGTGCTTATAAATTCTCGTGATGTAAGTCAGTTTACCGGGGACCTTACTTTCCAGCGTCCTGGAGGACCCATGCACTATGGTTACGACGGTCAAGAAACGTCGCAATATGCCGTACCAGCGGAGAAAGCTGGACTTGTAATCGGCAAGGGCGGCGAGTCAATCAAGGAGATTTGTCGTGTTAGTGGGGCTCATGTTGAAATCTCGAAAGAACCTCCCCCAGACCCTTCTATCAAGATTTTTAACGTGCGTGGTAACAGACAAGAGATAGAACAAGCTATAAGGTAAAGTGCTTTGCTTATGAAAAATTCCATGTAAGCTGTTTGTATCATTCATTTTACGCACAAATTCAATTCATATTGATTATCAAAGCAATATTTTTTATTTGTTACTATCTTTATTATTTCGGTATATGCCTATTCGTGCCATACGTATAATCACTCTTCTCTGGTTCTCATTTCTCTGGATGTCGGCTGCTGTTTAAAGAATGATCTCTGAGCGTGCTGGTATTCCTATGACTCGACCAGCTACGACCACTGGTGCAGTTCCTGGGCCTTGGGGTCAATATGGCTACCCACAGACAGGTAAGCTTAAAGTTTTTTATCGACTGACTGACAGCTTAGAGGCTGTGTAGCAGTCAGTGCACACAACCGAGCAACGACAAATGGTTAATGGGTACAAACATTGGCTCAATCTAATTTCGGGAGCTTGAGATGTTCGAACAACACCAGCTGTAAGCCTAACTGACGAATACCATCTTTACGTTAAACTCGATTACTTTTCATATTAATTTGAGATGATATTGCTGGTGATTGAAACTCATACTCAATTCGGTTTTGTTCTAGGATGTGACCATGAGATTTCCACTCATCTGTTTTAAGATTGTAATCCCACTCGTAAATCCAAAAATGTTAGATAGTTTGGCCGTGGGGCGACGTCTAGGTTGGCACTATTGTATGGAACTAAGTAGCTGTTACAAATATTTCTTCAAAATAAATTCATTCCAGACCCTTGGGCTATGGCTAATTGTGCCCAGAATGCCGTCGCAGCTGCGGCTATGCCGGCTCCGACTTATAATCCCTACACTGGACAACCGGACTACAGTGCGGCGTGGGCCGAGTATTACCGTCGACAGGGGATGCATGAATGTGCCGACGCCATCCTACGACAAGCTCAGCAACCGCAAGTCGCCGCAGTGCAGCCAACTGCTCCAGTTCCTTCCGCTCACGTCCCAACTGCCCAATCCGGTGCACCTGCAGCAGCACCCAACTCGGTTCCGGTCCAAACACAACAAGCTACTGGACAGGTAATTTTATTGGTTTTTACTTGCAGTGTTGAGGATAGGGTTTTTCTAAATTTGTTTCATGTATATGTAACAATGGATACCGATTAGTCTATAATATTTGGGATCAAAGGCCTCAGAATCGGTGACTTATTTGATTTAGCCTAGTATGTGTTTTGTGTGAATAATTCTGACGGGTTCCGTTTTGGCTACCAACCATTCTTTTCGTTTTCAGTACGACTACGGTCAGTGGCAGCAGTGGCAACAATGGCAAGCTTGGCAAGCGTGGCAACAGCAGCAAACAGGAGCACCAGGCCAACCCTCTGCAGGGGCTCCGACAGGACAGGCCATGCCAGGGGCGCCATCAATGCCAAGTGCACACGCAATACAATGTGCTTCAAGCATGCCTTCCGCTCCCGGTCATCCTCCCATTCCTCAACAATAAACTCAGCACCTCATTAGAAAAAGTGACCAGTTCCTACAGTATTCCCGAATCCGTTCTGTGTCTTGATTTCCAAATACATTTTCAGGCTGTATAAAAGCGTGTTGGTTGAGTCCAATTTCTAATTGGGTTCGATTTAGTCTTAGGTTTTTAATTTTGTATACTTGGCACTCAGGAAGTTGATGCACGTCTTTCGATGACGTATAGATTACTGCAGTTTGCATTTAGAATCCAAATAGTTTTGCCTTTTGGGACCACTGAAACAACCTATCGTTTTCTGCAAGTATAAGATTTGTGGTAAGGTGTTGAAATATATGGTTTTCAGTATTTGCGATGTACTTTAATCCTTCATATTCCCGTTGAAAAAAAGAATCCTGCTTGCCGATAGTCGAGTATTCTTTTTAGTATTTTACATCAACAACGGGTATTTTTTTCAGGCAATATTTCTCAAGTCATGTACAGTGCTAGTGTCTATTGGATGCAGAAATCCGATTTCATGAGTTAGAACAGGTTGGAAATGGTAGTAGTTGATATTCCTCATCAATAATAGGTGACATTGCTTCGGCGGGACACTAGGATTTTGTGATTCAACATGCATCTGAATCGTAAATTTTTGTAGGAAGATAACAAAATGGTTGCTGGTTTTTAGTTTGGATCATAGGTCTTGCTGATTGTTATTAATTAGTGGTGTACATTGCTTTTATTCCACATGGATCTCTTTAAAAAACGTTTATATTTCGTCAAAACATAGGTTTTATAAATTTTTTGCATAATTAGAATAGACTTGTTTCGACTCAAGGATTTCCATGATTAATTTGTAGGCCAATTGGAACTCTTATTACATGCAGCCATGCAATTCCGGTTATCCATGGCAAACATGAAAACCTCATCGCCTATCAGGAAGGCACCTGAATTTGTAATCTAAATGTTTTAAAAATTTGTACTGACTTCGTCACTTTTTTGAATTTATGCGTGAGTTTTTAAATATACTTACATATGCTCGTAGTGTGCACAAGTCTTATGCATATACATATATGTGTGCATTGTGTATGTATATGTGCGTTGTACCTCAAACTGATGTTCTTAGTATGTGGTTGAGAGGAAATTTATTGCGCAATTGATATCGTGTGATCAGGTGTTTCGTTTAGAATAGTATATCGGTTAGTAACTGCGAAAATTCATCCAGCGGTTTTGTGCTTAGCAATCAAAGTCAGATGATCAGCAAAGGATTTTGGATGGGATTAATCTAATTTTCAGAGTTTTCAACAGATAAAAAATGAGTAAGGGCTCTTACAGCTTCTCTCGACCAGTATTCATTTCAATCAGATATGAGGATCCCACCTTTGCGTACATTCCGCGTGGTCTTGTGGTTGATGAATGCATCTCAGGCGACGGAATGCCCCGAAAAGGGATATCTTGGTGTGCAGTAATAGGCTTACGAGGTTGGCGGTAAGCATTGAGAGAGGGAATAAGCAAATAAAACTTGCTGCGTGTGTGGGACATTGCAGAGTAGCAGCAGCGCGTAATATTGCAGTTGATTGTAATCAAAAGCAACTTCTTGTTCGCAACCGAGTCCAGAAACACGTAATACGGTCAGGATACCCAAGAGTCTTCATGTGTGTCCTCATCTCGACGCCTACTGTCGTGCACTTGGTAAGACCCCGGACTCTTGTTTGACATAAAACGAAGTCACCATAGGTATAGCGGCGTTTGCACGGTAGGTTTCAACACGGTGTTGTTAAACTAAACTAAATCCAAAATTTAATATAAGTTCGAATGTTGTCAGTCGCAAGTTGAGACAGCGTATATGACTTCACTCCAGTTGGAAGGAGTTTTATGCCTTGTGGCCTATTCGTTCCAACTTAAGAAATCAAGTCTCGCTGATGTATTGTAAGAAAGTACTGGTACTTTGAAAGCAGTCAGCAGTCCCTTGCGTTGAATAGCGTAAGGTTAGCCTCCGAGGCGGTTACTTCGCACAGGAAAGTGGGGAATAACCCTTATGATTGGTGTATTCTCCATCACACTTCCTGGAGAATAGTTGATCGATGTTGATAAATTTGCTGTGTAGCGATTGGTATTCCGTAGTAGATGTTATTACCTTTGAGGCGCAATGTCGCTGCTTGAACTAAGAATCGGCCGATAACAATCTGGCATGACAATTTCAGTGAGGAAGCTTAGCAGTAAACTAGCTTGACGAATGTCATTTATCACATTACCACGTAAAACAGGTGAGCAAATTTGACGTGTTTTCTGCGCCATGTACTACGTCTAATCGGCATCTTCATGTTGCAGGGATTCAAAGCATAATGTAATACCAACCAAACTTACCACATAGAACACCCAAGATATAGCTCACAAATATGAATCAAAACAACTCACTCAATAGTACGGAGCACAAGCGAACACAGTGGCGTGGTTCTTCGCGACCACGATCAATTTCCATGTTCATCCAACTTTTTGCTGATACCGGTATGTAGGTGGAGGCAAAGGAGAAGCTGGTTTCGTTGGCGGTTATGTAAAATTTCATAACGTAATTGGCTCAAATATGACACGTAAAGCTTAGTATTCCGATTGTGACAAGGTGTACAAGGCAGGAAGTGTTCCTATCATTTTAAGTACTTGTCAGTAGTTTACACTCGTATGACCAATGTATTGTGTTCTAACCGTCACTGTGAGTGTGTGCATGGATGAACCAGGAATTCCCACGACAGTACTGCCGATATCACAAGAGACAAAGGACTGAAGCAGTTTACAATAACCTTTCTTACGTATGAAACCAAAGCCTGACATTTAGTTGGATTCAATCTGGACCATTAAAAGTCAATAGCTGACCTTATGTAGACAGCTGTTCCTGTGGGGACAGAACGTCAGATCAACCAAGTTCACTTTAGGAGAACAAGTTACGCATAGAAAAAAGGAGTAACTGAGAAAGTACGGGCTCTTTGGCCGTAACAACTTCAGAGAATGATGGAGGAAAGACGTCGCACAAAACACGATCTACTGCTCCAACACTGCAACAAGTAGGAAAAGTTATTTGTAATTCATAGTCCTCCGTTATGGATCTACCCTACTAGTCGGCGGTACTGCGGTAACAATCGGGAGGAGCAGAATGATCTAAGAGCGCATACTCAGCACCTTAGTCTAAGCTGCGATCAATGTCGTGATGCCGGGCATTTGAAGCACCTAAAGTACTTATATAGATTTATAAGCGAAGTGTCTTGAGTCGCTGAAGGTATAGGCGAAAGTAGTATATGTTTGGTGTTCTTCAAATCAAGGTGATGACCATAAGTCTATTTTAAACTCGATTTGGAAGACGACGGATTTAGTTGCAGGTAGAATCTGAATTCAGTTGATGTATCAAGGTGAATCGATGCAATAAACATAGTTGTAGAAGAATGACAGCACATCTGCGAGATCACTAAGTAAAATGATTGGGATATATGTAAGCTTAATGGATGCATTCATGAATTTGATTTCACCTATAATTTATGCGACTGACGAAATCTTTAGGAAATGAATCCGATCACATATCCGCAATTTTTATATACCGCAGCACAACAAGTTTCACAGTGATGAAGTACTAGGCTGAATTGTATGATTGCGACAACAGTGAATGTATGAAATTGTAACTAGATTGAAGTGTAACCCTGAATTAATTAGTCTCCTAGTCGCTAACACTGAATTATCAAAAATACTTGTTGCATTCATAGTCCATGTTCATTGTGTAAGGAAAGAGTGTGTTTCGTTGGTGCGCAGCTGATTGTGAGATGAGATGAATTGCCTAAAAGGGGAAGTCAATGAAGTAATTTCTTTATGGGATTCTGATGAGGAAGTGAACGACTTGAGTAAACAAGTCTACCGAAGTGAAGACGAAGACAGCAACTGACTGACACCAACCAATTTAGGCAATCTTAATGCATAAGATTACGCATCATTGTGAATTAGAAATAGATTCATGATTTCTAGGCTGCATTATTCTTACTAGTAAATTGCTGTCTCACATGTCATAAGGTAAAACATATATTGATTTCATAGTGATGTCAGTCGGCTCCACAGACTGGTAGAGTTTCGAATGTGGTTTTCGGAGAAATTTCACTTACACGAAACAAGTGCTCCCGATTTGTCAAAAGACTCGATATAGTGTTACATTTCCAAGTGATGGATGTTAAAGGGTCGTAGACAATCGCGAAGAATGACTGCATTAAATTTCATGTCTATTGGAACTCATCATCTTGATGGGAGCGAGTTGCTTCTCTAGCATACTTTTTCATTTGAGCCAGAAACAGCAGTCACTATCTAATGGTTGCTTGCATGATTTACGTGGCTAGCGAAAACCCTAAGGAATGCCATGGATTTATTTTATCGTGCAGAAACTCCTCCCACTGTGCCTTTCAATTATGTCGAGTGAAATTTCTAAGTTAAAAATTGTTTCTGCCTTTTCTCAGTTTTTCCTGTTTCATTCTTTTGACGCCTTCCATTGTCTTTCTTCCGTTTTGATGTTTTTTCTATATATGTCTTTCCGGTTAATTTCTATATTTTTTCTCTTCATTTTCGTTACTTTTTATCGTTCTTTCCTTCTATTTTGTTTATTGTGTTTTTTTCGTTTAGATCTTCAGTATTTTTTGTTTGCTTTGCTTTTGTCTTGTATGTGATACATATATATGTTTGTTTCTTTTCTCTTCCACTCTTGACTAATTTCTTTTTCAACAATTATTTTATTGTTGATGTATGCTTTTTTGTGTTGAATTTACGCGTGCAGCTTCAAAACTGTTATTTGGTTATATTGATTTAATATCTGCAATGGATTTTTTTTATTGAAACTTTTTCTTTTGGTATTCCAGGGAAAACTGACACGTTCCACAGAACGCTCTGTTCGGAATTTTCAGTAGTTTTTACTATCGTACACGTTTTCTCTTCCTCATATTCTTTATAGATTTTCTCAGAATGATCTTCATTCCCTTTTGTGGAACGCTTTTCATCTCTGTGCTACTCAAGTTTTCTCTCAGAAGTCATCACGAAATTTTCTGAGTAGTATACGCAAATAATAATTTAACTCTTATTCATTGTCTCTCTCTTGACTTATTTCGAATTAATTGTAAGTTGCATGTAATGACCCCTGCCTATCATGTGTCAGGTATGTAGCCAACCACCAGAAAAAGATAATTATGCATTCATCAACTTTCTGGTCGCATTAAGGACAAACGATTTCATGGAGTTTCAGCAAATTTTGAGGATAAACATTGATTCTATGCACTCGACTGATGTCTTTGAGCATGTTAGTGAAGACTGTCGACGATGATGTATGATTTTATCTCTTTTATCATTATCTATAACTCATAGTAATATTATGGAAAAATGTCTTCAGAACTTTTTATCTGCCAGCGTCAAAGCTGACTGAGTTATGATATTCTTATAATATGGTAAATATGACAACAGTATGCTCACAGCAAGATAGCTTATTATCAATATGTATGATTATTCTGAAATCAGGTGTTACACTTTTTCCACGACAACCTTATTTTTTAAGGAAACAAGAAGGGATTATCAAAATGGCGCTGGGTCTGACTAATCTGCATTGTATGTCGTCTCTTCGCCTAAGGACTAATTACTGCTGTAACTACTTCCCAAAGTCCAAGACTAGAAAATCAGGAAGTGCAAATTTGAAGGATGATGCCTATTCTAAACTTGAAATTATAACTTACTGATAACATACTAGATAGATAGCATGAAGAATGCTTAGTGTAAATTGGGTCTAATAACTAAATATCTTGTCACTAGCTGCAGACTTCGTACATAATAAAACTGGTAAGAAGAATTAATTACTCCTAAGAACTCGACCCAGAAAAACATGGCATTGACGACTATAAGGTATTATCAATTACGAATATTCTAGATCACTTTTAAAACTACCGGATGTTAAAAAATCAGTAATCAAATCCTTTTAATTTGCTCAAAAATACTTTAATATCTTTTGAGAAAGAAATTAATTAATAATTTTGTAGTAATTTAAGAAGTGGAGAATAGATTACATTTACAGCATCAGTACTCCAGAAGTATCCTAAATGGTTGTAATTATGAATATAGTTTATTGAAATAACAGTTTTATTGATTTTTTGCACAAGTACTTCAACATTCTTCTTCGTGCATAAGTAATCATTTCCTCCATGATAAATTACAGTTGGAACATTAAAATTTTGTAAACTGTATTCAGGTGGTTTGCTCTGTCCATAAACTTGTCTATTTAGGCTAGCTCCATAGTCGAATTTCTGTAGCTGACCACTATTGACCATCTATTTGGAAATAAAGACCACATTATTTACTGCTTTTATGCTACTAACTGTTAAACTATTCAATATTTAGAAACTTTTACCACACCTCGAGATAAAAACAATTAGCGAAGTGGCTACTGCATGAAACAGCTGCTTGTTGACACTATTCTATCTAAAAGAATCCCTTTTCTAAAACTTGATTCTTTCAAAATGTGAGTTTTCACAGGAAACGAAACTTAACAAAGGTTTTAGTTCTGCATAAACAAACCTCATTTAGTTCCCGAAGAGGTACTATTCACGTCAACTAATTCTGTAAACCAAACATTCTGTTCTGTGATAAGCGATTATCATTGACTTAAAACGTGTACATTGATAACCACCTGAAGATTTATGACTGTATCCGTATTGAACTTCGATCAAGAGAGGTTTTCACTTTTCATATTATTCAGGTGACCGAAATGAAAATTTGAGTTTTATGCACTCAGTGAAGGTAACAGTAATCAGTTCATCATATTTAATTTTTTCAGTGGCCGAAATTACAAGTTGTTCTACTTCGAAAGTGTTTTTCTTTTACTCAGTTACGTAAACACAGAATATACTCGCCTCATGCGCTTAATTATAAATTTGGAGCTATATTTTCCATCTCTAGTCATTATTTTATGACTTAAAGTAATCATTCAGCAGAGTTTTCTGTAGAATATTGTCAACCCTGTAAAACAATGGTCCTCTTGATAATTTCGCAGTAATATGACAGAAATCTAATTTATTAGTCAAGGCATCTAATGAGGCTTCAGATAATCCTTTCAATCACCTGCTTTTAGCTTCTTTTAAAATTGATCAAAGTGACATATACTTGCATTAATCATACTATAAGTTTGTATTCATCACAAATGAAACATAATTATCATGTAGTGACTTTTACTTCATTGCAGTGTTCACAAGCACAGTCGGTCCCTGATGGGTTGGTCCACTCCCAGAGATCTCTGTTGCTGATCCTTTCTGACCATCTGATGTTGAGTATTGAGCTAAGACACCTGTTGATGAAGGTCTGTAGTTTGTCTGAAGTGACCTTCGTGACGCGGCGCCAAGTCTCTGATCCGTATAGTAGCACTGACTTCATATTAGAGTTGAAAATCTGCATCTTATTTTTTATACTCAGTGATGTTGATCTCCACAAAGACTTGAGAGTAATGAATGTTTGTCTTGTTTCCCGATCCTTGCTTTGATATCCTTATTAGTTCCATCCTCCTGTAGTTGAAACGATGCTTTCCAGATCGGTAGGTAAAGGAGTTTGCTTCTTTCGGATTTCTCCCATTTATGCTGATTGTTGTCTGTTATTATTACTGTCTGCCAAGAATCTTCATTACTTCTGTTTGTTCACCTGAAGTCTTATATTTGATGCCGCTTCTGCCAACTTGTTGCTTTCTATAATATATATATATATATATATATATATATATATATAATTCTAATAAGGCCACATGGTACTCACTTTTCAAATCAACTGAAAATGGTGATTCCAAATCGACCCACATTTAGATATTCTCCTTTCTACACTGTGCTTTACAACTAAGATTGATAAATATGTGGAGAATTTCTTCTTTTTCGAGAGAAATTACTCCATCATTTTGAAGTATTCAAAATTTAAACTAATTAATAAAGGGTATACATAGTTTCTGCAACGCTTATACTCAAACTCATACTGTTCACCAATCAAATACACCAGAAACAATCTATGTTTTTGTAAGTAATAAAATTCTCACTGGGATTAAAATGATCAATGTAGTCCATTTAAAAATATTCAGAATCCAGTGATTTATCCTATAGATTCATACATGATATTAAAAACAGAAGCAGATGGATAAAGCTCTTGCTAATGAATTGTTGTCCTGTTTGGAATTAAAAATCCATTCTGGTCGTTTTGAACACTGTCAACATATCTTAAGATAAACTTTTGTCTGTTTCATTACTTCGAAATCATCAAGAGGACCACTGTTTTACAGAGTTGACAGTATTCTACAGAAAACGCTACCGAATGATTACTTTAAGTCATAAAATAATGACTAGAGATGGAAAATATAGCTCCAAATTTATAATTAAGCGCATGAGGCGAGTATATTCTGTGTTTACGTAACTGAGTAAAAGAAAAACACTTTCGAAGTAAAACAACTTGTCTTATGTTGGTTTATTCTGATAAAATTTATCAAACTTCAGATTAGTTTAACTTACCTGACTAAAGTGGACAAGATTTTTAATTGAGGTCCCCGCCGGGCAATGTGAGATTATCAGTGGAAGACGTGTCTGTAACAGAGAAAATATGTATACGTCTTCTGATTGTAACGTTAGGAAGAGAAATTTAAATATGTTGAGAGTGAAATTACAGTAAAATTTTCAAACCTTGGATATCACATTTGTCTCAAGCGTTTAAAACATTGTAAAGGTTGCAGGATAAGCCAGTGGGACATTCTGCACTTCCTCATTATTCTTTTTTTTAAAAATATATCTTAATATTAATATGAAATTGAGTAAAACATGAAACTTTGGATACCATTGTCAATCAAGTTGGATGAACCAAGTGGACATTCTGACTAGCTGTTTTCCTGCATTTGAAATTGAAGTTAAGTCACAGATTCAAATAATTAACTTTTAAGTCGAGCTTAGACCTAATGACTAGTCACTAGTTCTAGTTATCCGAAGTCAGCTGACGTTAGTTGGATTGTAAATGTTTGGTAACACTGAATTTTTTAAAATTTAGAGCTATTAAATAATATGGGCGTTTTTAAGCAAGTGTATTACTTTTAAGTTTATAGCATACTTTCCTGATACCAGTTCCTCCCATCACATATTCAGATTCTATGCCTATGTGTAATAGCATTTGAATTTGGATGGCTTTTAATCATAAGATCGGATTCCCTTATATGAAGTTTTAGGTGGAAATTGAAACTTATATCGAAGTATTTAATTCTCTGTAATAAATCCCATTGAAGATTTCCGGATTACACCAACACATAGGTATATTCTGCTTTATGATATTGTAAATTTGTCAGTTAAATTCAGTTCAAGCCCGGCAACACCACCAGACGTTCACTGTTATTAATAAACAAATATACAATACAATGCACTAAAGTGCATTGCAACCTGCATCCTAACCAGAATGGCTTATTCGCACAGTTTCTGAATTTAAGAAAGTGTGATGTATATCTCAATCTTAGAAGAGACGTTAGCTTCCCCATTGTTGCAATATAAACCATGTTAACGAGATAATCATTTCCAGGTCAAGACTTAACTGGGATTCCTAGTGATTAATTATCCAGTGACATCTGATACAATTCTGCTTCAGTAAGGATGTAGTCATGAGGTGACGGTGAAAGAGCCATTGAAAAATTCATTAGTAATTGATATAAGTTCATGACGAAGTTCACTTTGATATCAGTACAATTCATGTAAACCGAACATCTGAACATTTTTATTTATTATTTACAAGAGAGAAAACAGGAGGAGAATTCAAGAAAAGTACAAATTTCAAAGTTAGAGAATTTCACTTGTTATGACTAATTAAATCCAAGTGTACTTTTGATTGGGCACTAGTTAGTAACTAATGTAATTTGTCTAGTCCTTTGTCCGGTGCAGACTGAATTCTATCAGTCAAATTTGCAACTAACTAATGTTCAATCAAAAGTATCCAACACAGTCCTACTGGAGGTCAGTAACAAGTACAAATAGGTCGGTCGGTTTTCGACATAGAACTTTGCACAGATGTACAGCAGTTCAAGTCGCCACACTCCATGTAGCATACAAAGCAAGAGAAGAAAGTAGGAGAAACGCATATTAGAGACAGTAAACAGAGGTGTGAGACAAAGTAATAGTAATGACGAAGAACAATATAGTTTCATTGGAAATCATAAGTCACAAGGAGTGGATGCATCTGCGCCACTCAGAACGATTTTGAGTCATGTCACCAATTTATAATAATAATATATATTTCCTATCAATGTAGGACACACCAGTTGTACAGGCATGGATAAGTATTATTTAAATTACATGAATTTGATTTATAGTGAAATTACATGGTTGCTGTCCTCTCTGACATGAGTTAGTGAGCACATTCTGATAGTTAGTCGTTCAATGGAGCACATAAAGAAATATAGAAATATTGTCTTCGCATTAACAAAAAAAACCCAAGTACGTGTCGGATAAACTACAAATATTTGGGAAAAAATAAAGCTTGAAGTCAATTCCTCCATATAACTTTGTTGTGTGCGGCATCGTATCTTGTTTTATGTTCAAAATTGTTTCCAACCATTGGATTTTACCATCACGAGGACCCCAGCCAGGAAGCCAGTCTACACCTTCCTACGTGGCTGGTTTAAACTAACTGTTGTAGATTTCATTGACTGGTGCCATGTTTTGGTTTGACCGCCACTAGTTCTTTTCCAGCCTGACTCTTTGTCAGCTAACATTGCCCGTTAGTCGAGGAAGGCGATGACTAGGCATACGTAACACATGTCCTAACCATCTCAGTCGATGCGATTTCACAGCCTCGTCGATTGATTTCCCCTCCGTACATAGCACTCGACGCCTAACCTCAATATTGCTCACCTCATTATACCACTTCACACGGGAGATAGAGCGGGGGCACCTATGATCAAAAACACCTAATCTTTTCATGTCTTCCACTCTCAATGGCCATGTCTCACTCACAGCCATAAAGGAAGACGGAGCGGACTGTTGAGCAGTACACACGCCCTTTGGTCGATAGTCGGATATCATGTCTATGCCAGAGACGGCGTAAACTGGCATATGCGAAACTAGCCCTCTGTATCGGTACTGAGATTTCGTCAGAGGTCAACCCGTTGGGGCTGATGGTACTTCCCAAATAAGTGAAGCGGTCAGTGTGCTCTACCACTTCACTCCCTATTTCTAAACTAGGAGTCAGTGTAGTCCAGTCCTGTAACATCGTCTTACATTTGGCGGGAGCGAATCGCATGCCAAACATTCGTAGATTGCAGCTCAAGGTGTTCAGAAGACTCTGCATTTTGTCAGCGTCCTCGCCTAGAAGGACTATATCGTCTGCATATTCTAAGTCAACGAGATTATTCCCTGATAACAAGTCAATCCCTGAGTCTCTGAAGTGAGTTAGGGTTAAGTCCATTAGTACGTCTATGATGAAATTGAATAGAAATGGCGATAATGGGCATCGCTGACGGACACCACTAATCGTCACCACTTCAGATGACAACTCGCCGTAAGCCCTCACCTGGCTGACTGCATGAGTTCGAGTAGAGTGCCTTGATCAGTGCAATGTATTTCTTCGGCATTCCCTTTACAGCCAAGCATCGCCAGAGAACCTCTCAGTCGACAGAATTGAATTCCGCCTTTAGGTCAATGATGGTTGGAGGCCGGTAGGAATGCCTATGTTCTAGAATCTGTCGAAAGGTGAAGATATGATCAATACACCCTCTTCCTGGCCTAAAACCTGCCTGGTTTTCTCATGTTTGTGCCTCCCGAGCACCGCTTAGTCTACGCATGATTATTGAGCCTAGGACTTTAGGTACTCTATTAGTCAAGCTAATCCCTCTGTGATTATCACAAGAAGACTTGTCTCCCTTCTTGTATATCGGGATGATCAGTGACTTACACCAGCGAGTACAAATAGCTCAGTGGTAACGTCTCTAACTGCAGCAATGGGTGACGCAGGTTCGAATATCAGAAGGGACATAAGTTATTTCAAGGTCTCAGATACGCCTTGTTGACTGGTGAGTGTCAACTAGCACGAAACCTAAGTTCAAGGCCTCCTGCTGACTGCTTCCAACCGTCTAATAAAATCCTAGTTTTCATGTATGTATGTAGCAACATTTAATGTCTTTACACTTTTGCATCTTCAGTTAAGATGATATTCAATAGTTGTTTCTAATGCTAATATTTAGCCACACAATGCAAATTATGTTTACCGATCAATCTGTTGTGGATATGTGTAAATATAAGCATAGTCAAATCAGCATAAAGACTGAGCTTATAAACAACAGATTAATAATAGCATTTATTTTTAAGAGATATGGAAGTGAAAATAATTTGATATTATTAGTACCTTTAAGTTGTTGCTGTCTACTGATCTAATGATCCACTGCATTGTTTTTATCTAACTTTTCACATCTTATCAGCAAACTCTTTCTTGTTGCTTAGAGACTCTGACGGAATATTCTGAATATAGGATTAATCTTAAAAACAGTAATTTATACAAAATGAAAGCGAAAACAAGAATTATGTTTGATAATCTCACCAGATTAGTGTTGGATCCATCGTTTCCAGCAATACTATTAATAACTGTCATGCAAAGGTATGGATCCAGTCCGCAAACATACTTCCCTAGAAATTTAAAAATATCGTTGGAAGGAAGTATTTCACCATTCGTCAGATAACGCAGCATGAACTGAAGAATCTGATAGTGTTGAGCTAGTGAACGGAAGGTGCCCTCGAGACTTGCAAAGTATCCAACAGGGCCAAATGCTACAAATAAATTTATATGTTGTTGTAGTTCTGGGAAAGTATCCAGTGCTGTCATAGCAATAAGTGAACCCTATTTGAAAGTGGAAAAAACAGAAGAATGGATATAGACTTCATTTATTAAGCAAAAGTAACACAAAATTCCTTGTTAAAAAGAAAAGTTACACAAGTGTACACACCTGCTATAAATGAACGTTGAAATGGATACCAGTGTTCTCTACAGTTAATGATTAAGATCTAAAGTGTGAGTAGTATAATTGTCAGAATGATAAAATTGCTAATATTTAGCCATCCAAACATTAGTTCAATTTCTCACTTCTCAAATCTTCAATTTTCAAGAAGAATCAAGAAGTAAATTCGGAAATTCTCTGACCCACTGACTGACTTTTCAATGATCTGCTGTCATTACTGGAAGGTCTTCACTGTACACTCCTGAATGATCACTGACTAGGAAGAAATACCTCTTCCTGGTCTTCAAAGATTCTCTGAATAATTCCGGTTGGTGATGAAATCCACACTGAAACTAGCAGTCTAACTGGACATATTGTTTGGAAAAATGATAAAATTTCACCGTGAATTTTTGTAACACTAGTACTAAAACCAGTTCATTGATTGCCACTATTTTATATTTACTGTTATTGACGTAACTTAAAATGTTAATAACAGTTACCAATACTGTGTCACAGTGTTTTATAACGACGAAACTTATCTAATGGGGAATTACCTTCTACCACAGTGCCTACATTTTACCCTTAAATTACTCATACAAAATCTTCATAGACAGCTGAGGAATTTCCGAAACGAAATCAAAACCACTGTACGGCAATGATCGCTGCTTACCCACTATATGGTAAGTGTGTCTCTCGAGTAAGCAGTATAATCAGACGAATGTAGAATTTATTTTAGTGTATTGTTTTGCAAGTCATTTGCATGAATGTACTGCATACAACCTGTCAAGGACACATAGTCTGCTGTAACAGAAATCTAATCTAATCTAACAAACTCGAAATCAAAGCGTAACAGCTATATGAAACGAATCAAGTGTTTAAACTCATTTGCTGATTCGTGAGTAAGCTAGTTAATTTTCTAATTCTAAAGTAAATGATCAATACATGTGACTGTAGAAACAAAGGGATGGCCACATCAAAAACATATAGCCACACACTTATACAACAATGATACAATAGGCCGAAACTTCTAAACCCTATTTGGTGATTTTAGTGCTCACTTCTTGAAGTGTTTCTTTAAATCTGTCAAATTTTGAGTTAACACTACGCAAAAAATACTCGCTAGTCAATTTAAAGTTACTTTTTTGTAGAAAAGGTTAAACCATAATTATTAAAAAAAAAGATTTACTTTTTCATTTCCATCTATTTTACGCTCAATGAAGTGGCAATTTAAATAAATTTAGAGATATTGTCTATAACTTAGCATACCCATTGCTTATTTATTATATAATACACTAAGGTGTACACTTGGAGTTAATGTTCATAAATTTCCAGAAATTGTGCCAAAATTTATTTGAGAGTTATAGCCCAGTGTTGAAGTAAGTTAGCCATTGGAAGAATAATACCAACTAATAAGTATATATTTAGCGGTATACATGATTTATCAAAATTCATTTAAATGTGAAGCGGCACTACATAATACTTTCCATGAAATGCTTATGATGATAAATTCTCATAAAAATACAAAAACAAAAGAAATAAAATGTTATGTACCTGAACTAACACACAGACTAATAAAACTACCTTAATCAGTGATCTCATTTATATAAGTTCTATGACCTTTCATGGTATAGAAATGCATGTTCTAAAAAATCATGATTTATATACAGAATGAACTGATCAATAAGTGCATGAGACCACTTAGATTTTCATGAGATACATTGGTGATATGTTCTAACAGTTTATCGGTTGGAAACAGTATTACTGAAATTTCTGGGTGTGAATGTACTCAGAGTTCCGCTAAATCACTTAAGGTCAGCGTGTCTCTTAAAGCTTTTCGTCGAACTTAATCAATATTCTAGTTTTTTTAATTCTTCATGTTAATTTTTGTTCTATGTATATTATACTTACGATTCTCTCGAAATTGTTGAGGTTAGAAAAACCAAGCACAAAGTCTCATCTAGAATAGCCTTACGTGTCTGAACAAAATGACAAATTTTAGAGAAATTCAGTGATACAGATTCTTACATAGTCATTGCTGGTTAATAAAGAATTTACGGCAGAGAAGGGGGAAGCATACAAGACAAAATGAGTCTAGATATTGGATTCATAAGGATGTGATTAATTTCCATGTGTATTTTATTACAAACGGATATCATTTAGATAATTAAATAGCAGGGAACACTGAGTGCCTGTTTCACTCTCATCTAGGACTTTTCGCTTCTGCACACTCATTATTTGTGCAGCTATCGAGCTGAAGACCCTGTGCGTCGGTGGCACAGAGGTTAGGACTCTCATCGACCACGCATATGGTCCGGGGTTCGATCCCCGGCCGACGCACTCCTGATATCAATGGTCGGCCTGCAAAATTTGATCTACCAATATCACATGCTGAAAATTCCATACTTGTACCAATAATACAGTGTGTAATCAAGCCATAATAAAAAAAAATAGTTGGGAGCGGGGCACTCTTTCCATTTTTCCAACTGCGACGCAATCACGCGACTTTTAAATTCCAACCAACCGGTTATACATTTTTATATCAAGCCTCTGTCACTGATCAGCATCCAGCATCGCACATTACTCGATGAACACTGTCGGTCATAACTTCCTCTTATTAATTCAAGACATTTATCTTGGAGCCATCCAGTAATTGGAAGTAGAATAAAATATAGATGGTCGGGTTATAAGAGTTCGATTGCAGCACAGTGGCTGAGTGACAAGCCTACCAGATTCTCCACTTAGGACCCTGAATTAAGCCATCTTGATGCCATGATTTCTACATGCCATTGTCAAGTCCTCAATTAGGATGAAATATCTGTCCAAACTGCTATTTTTTCCAACAGTCCTCTGACAGACGTCGATTATTAAAGAAATCTTAACTGAAAACAAACTAATTTTTCCTTTTTTAACCTAAGACTTCAAAAATTACTGGATAACTTGTTCTAATTCGATAGTTTCTCTTATTCATAAAACTAGCTATTGAATTATTTGTTTCTAATGGAAAAATGAGTACTCTGTCAAACTGCCAAAGAAAGTGTAAAATGGCCATGCCAGAACTAGAGCAGAAATATGTTCCTGTACACCGCAGTCAAAATATTTAGCCGTGTCATCCTTCAGAGACTAGAACATCCGAGGGATGGAAACATTCAAGTGGAACAAGTTGGTTTCAAATCAAGCCATGTGAAGGCATTACATCAGTCTAATTTTCTTTGACCAATGAACTTTGATTAAAATCAATAGCTTCAATTTATATGTTCTTAAGATGGTCATAAAAGAATGATGCTCTAAAAAGAGAAATATGTGACTGATGGCTTCTCAGTTGTCGGGGTTACGAATCTAATATGTTTTCAACTTTATGCTTTTCTTGTTGAAAAGTGCGAGTTAACTAGTGTGATAAACAGCATTGTACAGGAGAAGGATTGTGAGAAGTCGCTAAGTGTAAGCAAATTATATTTACCTTGAAAGATTTATGGTGGGGATGTAAACTTCATAGAAATAAACACACGGATTTAAGTTGGAAGACAGGGTTTCTATTTTGGACCAGAGTTGCTTTTTCTAAGTTATTGCAAAGATGAATAAAGACATAAGACATTAAATCTCCTGCTTATCTGCTGAAGAGCAAATATGCGTTATAATAACTGCTATACAAAATTTAGGATAAAACAAGCCTACTTTACAGATGTGGTGGTTGTTTCATGAACTTACCTGGGAAAATCCGACGTATGTTAGTCTTTCTACTTTTGTTATGGATAAGATGTATCGAATTGTAGCAGGAAAATCATACTTAGACATTTCTTGCCAAGTAAAGTCCCAAAACTCTGCTTGACTTGAATCAAAACGCCGATGCTTTTTGGAATATGTACTACCTCTGCTATTTCCAAGCCATACATCATAATCATTGTCAGCTAAAATATATGCTAGACTCTGGTTCTTCAAGTTCATTGTCCATGCATGCGATGAGTCCAGTAGTCCATGTTGTAATAAAATGACTTTGTTCCCTGAAATTGAAAAAGTAAAGATGTATTCATTGAAAATGAACCCAACATAAGTGATTAAATAAAGTAAAATCTTAGAATTTATTTGTTGAAACATACTCTTATAACTTGTTTTGTTCTTGTAAAGTCTGATTAAACACAGACTATAATAATCTTCAGTAATAACCTCATGTTCTTCAACTATATATCCTTGTTCACGTATTATCTCACTCTTCAAATATGACAATTACGTCTTCAGAATTTTAAATAACTTACAATATTCATATAAATTTCCGGGTCTACATTCCCACCAAGGAACGTTGCAGCTGTTAGGTTTGAATTTAAGAAGCAGTATCCTATCCATCTTATTAAAGATAAGAAAGATATAATATAAAAATGAAAATACCTAAAATAAAATTGGTTACCATACAAAATAAATCAGTTACATTTTAATGAAAATGTTTTCCAACTTATCAGAAGTCGAGTGTATTCGCAAATAAGTGCAAAATCAAAAGATTTTCAATGTTAAGATTCGTGATTGTTGTTTTCAGCTAGGTGCTATTTGTATCCAAGATATCGGATAATGTCAAGAGGCAAGAAGCAAAATGTGGTCAGATCAGTTGACTTTGTACTTACAGAAATAAAAATAATCGTGTTTATAGAGATTAAACCAATTTTACAAATAACCTTCAATTTGTGCGTGTATAGTGGTCTGACTGGAGAGATAAAAAAACCACAAATTATCGCAGTTCAACTTCAAAGTTTAACAATTTAAGGATCATCATTTAATGAAGAAAAAATTAAATGGTACCTATAAAATATGAAAATGAATCATTATTTTACAGTAAAGAAAAACACAGTTTTGCAAATACAGTACTCTTTCAAAAGAATTTGAGCAGTTCATTTCAAATATAGTGTAGCAGAATAGGCAGTTGTGAGATAAATCCCACATCCTCCTTCATACTTAGCATAAAAACCAGATAAAAACTATAGAGGAGAAACAGGAGAGGGGAAAATTTCGTATGTGCACAAAAAAGCAATAACAAATTAGAAAGAAGCAAGGATTTCCCAATGAAAACACAGGGGGAATGAAATAATGGAATTAAAATTCACAAACAAGTGCAATCCAGGAGGAATAAAAATTAAACTAGTAGACATACTCAAGAATAATTCAATGGACAAAACAAAGAGATATAGGCAAAAAATTAATGCATTCGAAAACAAAACGAGGGATTGGTGGCAATTAAAGAGAAATGTTAAAGCAGTGGGTATAGGACAGGGGATTCTTTCTAGTTTGCTACTCATCCTCATAACTCACCCACTGCTGTTCGAACCCACGACCTCCCGGTTACAGGTGAAGCTGGCACTGCCCAATTTAATCGCCCATGAATTCCAACTTCTACTAATTCATGCTTTCATCCAGACCACCAACCAATATCAATGGCCAGTAGTGCCCTCACTCCCAACCGAATAGACTCCACTCGTTACCACCTTTGATTAGAACTGCAGGAGACTTCCTCCTGCTCGGAGAAACGAAACTCTATTTGCGCCAAAAAAGAAACTCTACATGGACCTGGATTTCAAGGGAGATTTAGCAAGCGATATTCTCAAGAGAAGGATCACATAATCTCTGAGAAGAACATTCTTTGCAGCAACACTAAGAATAGTGTTCTCCAGTCGCCCAGTGATCTGCAGAAGCCTCAAGGACAATATCCCGCATCAGACCACTTCTGTATGCATATAATATCAGTTCACCTGCTGCTATGGAGCCAGGAACATCGGTCGTTTGACGCGCACCCTGTCCAAGAAGATTCAAGAACACTATCCAGCATGGTTGCGAAAAGGCAATAGTGGTGCAATAAGGAGTGCGATAATTGAACATCTGGTTAACACTGATCATTCCATTTCGACAAACGCCTCCTTCAAAGTAATCTATGCAGTCAAGAACAACCTATCAAAGGCAATACGGTTTCGCCTTCTTTGTATCACTGAAGCTCTGGCCATTCACATAGAAAAACCGGAGCTGTGCATACAAAAAAAGATTTCTCAGCCACTTCTGCTGTCTTGGCAACAACTTTTTTGATTTGATTTTTTGATTTTGATGACTTAATTTTGTTTCTTTGCCTGTTCTTTAATTGCTTATAATTCTTGTATTCATTTAGAACTCTTACGTAATTTCGTATTATCTACTTTGTTCCTATGTGCATCCTGAGTAAAACTCACTCATCAAACTATTCATATTATTACATAACTTCTTTTAACAACTGTTTGTGACGACTCATCACCTTTGTTACTACCCTAATTTCACTGACACCTAATTTTCTTGACTGATTTCGTATTACGTAACTCCAATTGCCAATCTTCACCTGTTTAGTTTAAACAACTATAACCAATTGTATTTTTGTTTGATAAACTTATTGTATGCATACATACAAAATAACACATGTATATATATATGCGATTGTACAGCTAGGAAAATGAATTCGCCGAGAAGAGACTCTTCGCTGATCTACATGTTTTGTTTTCATTAATGCCGGGATGGGGACTATACATGAATAACTTCTCTTCTCCAGTTTTCTGGCTTCCCGCTACATCGCTGGCCGGCAACTAATCCGTATATCCATATTTATTTCTCTTGCTGCAACTTCCTCTTCTCTTCGAAAGTACATCTCGGGCTGTTGGCATACCCTTGCGTGGAGTAAGCAATAGTAGATCAAGAGAACAACTTCGTCACTTTAAATCAGTAGGTATATATCTGAGTATTTCGGAACGGAAATAACTCACCAAATATAGCTGTATCTAGCAAATAAATAAATATATATAATTTGTTTGAACTGAATTATTCTTCATATATATAATATATATATATATATACGTTAAAGCAAGGTCCTATTTGTATCAATATTACACTTTGCGTATAAACCGGGTCAGCCGAGCGGTCTACTGCACTTCTAGAAACTTTGAGACCATTAAGAGCGAGTAGAGTCGAAAATACAATGATAGTCTCTTAAAATCATGCTGGCAACCATATACTGAAGCCTTCTACGTCTGGACGCCTTACCTAATCGGACAACAGACATCACCAGGCAGGCTGCCACCCGGCCATAAAATTTATATATGAAGCAGAAACCGGAGAGACAATCTCATTTCTGGACTTCCGACTAACAAAGAATACTGATGGGACTCTGAAGAGATAATAATATCGAAAACCTACGTAAAAACGGCCAGCTGACAAACTTTTACAGTTGAGTGCCCATCAATCGCAAGCGGAACCTGATAATATCTCTTGCGACTGTAATCCATAGAATCTGCAGCCCTGAATCAGCAGAAGAGGAAGACATTAACTGAGAATGTCTACTCACCACGCTTTATAGATAAACACATAAAGACGAAAGTGAACAAAGAAAAACCCATCTCTGTGCCAAAGAAGATGCAACATATGAATGTGGCGTTCAAAGGCGACCTTCTTGCCAAGGTCCTATAGGGGAAAATATCTAAAGCCCTGAAACGAACATTCCCTGCTGCTTCATTATGATTGGTATTCTCAAGCCACCAATTGTTTTTCAAAGATAAACTATCGCATTTCATCTCTTCTGAGTGTATCTACCGATATACTTGTTCATGTGAAGCGAGATATATAGGTCGTTTGATGCGTGTTTCATCTAAAACAGTTAAAGAACATTATCCTGCTTGGCTAAGGAAAGGTAACAGTGGATCAATAAGGAGTGCTATAATTGAATATATAGTCAACACTGGTCACTCAATATGTAGGGAGAATTCATTCAGTGTCATCTACAAAGTCAAAAGAAGCCTCCCGAAAACCGTAAGCTTCCGCATGCTTTGCATTGCCTAGGCCTTAGAGATCCGGACAGAAGACCCTGATTTATATACACAGAAGTAACTTCCCCTCCCCTCCTTCTACCTTGGATATAATTCCAAGTTCTACTACGTTGTTAACAATGCTTTTTTTCGAATTCTCGTATGACGTTTCCGTAACGTATTTTTCTTAGCCGGCTCTTTCTACCTACTACATAATTTATTTTGGACACTTGTTTCCATACACTTTCATTAACATCCTATTTTTCTGAGTATCTTTCATACTGCGTAACCTCTGTCAATACTTACCGGTCTTCACCACCTTAGTTGCTATTTGATTACTCATCACATTTTAGAAACATTTTGATGATGTAAACAATAATCCTAACTATTTTTTTCATTTTTGGTTGACGGTCCTAATGTACGCACTCGCATACACACAAAATACTTGCATATTAATGCAACTGTACAAATAAATTTATGAATTTTCCGAAGAGAATGGCTTAGCTATTTTTTTGTTTTGATATTCAGATTTGTACCTGTATGTTTTGTGTATCTGTGGAAATGCCTTTCATTTCGTGAGCGCGCAGTGAAACTGTTAGTTACCTATGTGCAGTGTGACGCTTTCGATTTATTGGTAGTAGCATGACAGGGATTCCTACTGTCACTGATTATACCCCTGAATCATGTAGCAGACTATGGGGAGCGATAAGATATTTATATGTTGTATCGATAAGGATACTTGGGGTTTACCGATGATATATGTATACTGTCGCACAAACAGGAAGATATATAGGAGTAAACCAAGAAATTAACAGAAGCAGCTGCGAAGAGAGGACTTTGAGGAAAGATAGAGAACCTGGAGTTCTAGCGGGAAGCCGTGACCAGTAGGGTACAGCAGGTTGAAGGTGAGTCAGCAACTCATCCAAGAAGACATTGCGAAGCGGTCGCGCCATATCATGAATGGGCGGAAGTTAGAGTTCATGAGCCATTGGATCGGTTCCCAGTGGCTTACTGGTCTACGAGCTCGCCTCGTAACTAGAAGATCGTGTGTTCAAACCCAGGTGGGTGAGTACCGATGAAGAGTCCCAAACAGGGCGAAACAGCTGTCTAGTGCTCCTTGATTTTCCACTGGTTCTCTAACCGACGTCAGCCCATGATGAAACTCTCCAACCAGCTGAACATAGAGAAGACTGAGATGCTGAAGATACAACAACAACGACAACCGGCACGAACCACCATCAGCGGCGGAAATCTAAAAGAAATCGCCACCATTTTTTAAAAGTAATTCCCTAATAATCTTAAGCCTCTCATTGAGGCAGTCGTCTGAACAGATTGTCCTAGCTCTATGAACCAGACACTTAATTAATGATGCCCATTCAGCGATAAACTACACCACAGAGAAAGAAAGTAATGACAGCATCTCATTCCTAGATGTCTTCCTGGTCAGGAAAGAAGATGGCACATTAAGAAGGAGTGTGTATAGGAAACCTACAACAACAGGTTTGTACACTCACTTTTTGAGTTTTGTACCTTTGAAATATACACGCAACTTGGTAAAGTGTCTGGTTCATAGAGCTAGGACAATCTGTTCAGACGACTGCCTCAATGAGAGGCTTAAGATTATTAGAGAATTACTTAAAAATAATGGTTATCCAGATAAGTTCATTGAGAAGAATATGAATTTAGCATCAAGGAGAGTCAGTGTGACAACAGCTCCAGAAATACCATCGTTCATAAAACTGCACTTCCTCCGTG